ATTTCTTCTCTTTCCAAAATAGATTTTATCTTGAACAATTGCAAATGTAGTAATAGAGAGTCCAAGTGTGATATAACAGTGGTTCAGTGCTTGGACATCATTCCGGTAATCTGATGTTTCATCACTAGAGAGATTAGTCATCGACAGTAGTACATAATAAACAAGAGAAGACAGTATGTAAACGACTTAAAGCAGGGGTATATCTGTCCCCATCTGCCTGTTTTCCATCAGGAGGAGCACAGAAAGAGAACGGTGTCCTTCAGTTTGTTGAGCTTTACAAATGACATGATGGGGCACCACCGCACACCTGACCTTCAGTTGGTCATGTTGCTGTTGCTTGCTGGGAGGCAGGGGGCACTGGGGAGGTTGTGATGCAAATACACCAGCAGAAGTGTTGGATGGGCTCTGCCAGTGCATTTGCACTGCACTGAAGTTGCCACCACCTCCCCCTCTACTACCCAGTATGCATAGGAGCCACCTCCTAGGGTTTGAGGGGTCTTCAGCAAACCCAAAGAAATATTTGAGGGGGCTGAGGGCCCAAAAGTTGATGGGAATTGCCATTCAAGTGGTGTGTTTGCACCACATCATGTGATCGATTATGTGGGGTGGGGCTTACCTGTTCCCCTGCCCCCAATATTTTATTCAAGTTGGCACCCCTGCCAGTAAGCAGTAGGAAAACACCCAACTGGAGGTCAAACGCCTACCACTGGTATGGCACATTACACAGAGGCTGTTTTAAAGTAGCAGCTGATACCACATGGCCAGATTGTTTGCATGGTGTGGCTCGTTCTGCTGACTGGATGATAGTCACCCTGCCATCTCAGAACTTTCATGCTGGGCACTTGCAGTCCAGTTTTGTTAGATGACTCTGGGTTTTAGAATTATGAGAGAGGGAAAGAAATATCTCTGCATCTCCTTTCTCCAAGCCAAGCATAATTTTTGCACCACCATACAGCCCCTGGGAATCACAGGTGACTTTTGGGCCATTATTCCAAGGAAGTGAACCCAACATTTTAAGCCCAATTTCAGATCTATGTTGCTTTAGAGTCCACTAATTCCAAGCACAAGGATCTTTTTACTATTTAAGGCTTTATCCCTAGCCCTACTTACCTGTGGGGAAAGCCCCACTGAATTCAGTAGGACTTCAATCTGTATCTGTATCTCTTTCCTGCAGAATGGGACTGTCACAAGTAGTACAAAATAATAATCAAATCCATTTTCTGTAGAGTGTACAAGAACCTCCAGGGGAAAAGACCACTCCCTTTTTATGGCAAAAAATTTTTTAGACAAATATAATGCTTGTCAGAGACAATGATGTCAATATATATCTTTAGCACAATTAAATTTAATATTATACTCTCTTTCCATCTTCTTGATTTCATTTTTTAAAATCTGTCTCGCTGAGGGGGAAAGCAGGATATTCCTTAAGTAAATCTCAATATATATGGAATACCTGTTTCCAGCAAAGTATAGGAGTAGTTTTTGATTTGTTTTGTTTTCTATGCTGGCAAAAAGGTGCTTTTCAAGATGTTATAGGCTACATAATTTTAATGGAAGTGAAATGTTTGGGTTTACTTCTACATCTAAAAATAAGCTATTGAGCTGATGACTAAGCTTCCTTGCTCATTTAAGAGCCTCTCTTTAAATACAATAATGGTTCAATCACCTGGGATACATATTCCTAATTTTGGAGGAAATTATTGATTGAATGAAACTGAAGGCAGTGTCCTTGTCTGTCTTCTTTGCGATACGAACTATGGAGAACAAAAAGTCATTTGGCACCTCAAAGACTAACAAACCTGTTATGGGGCAAGCTTTCATGGACTGCAGTCCACTTCACCAGATGCATGATGCAATCCTAAATTGGCAAGCACCTGTCCATAGGGGGTGGAAATGCAGAGCAGTAAGGTCAGGGGGCATGAAGGGCAAAAACAGAAGAGTACAGCGGTTAGCAGGAAACAGACTAGTGACAGTGGAAAATACAGCATTGGTAATAACACAAACATTCTGGCATTGGTAAGCCAATTAGTACCAGTTGATGAAAAAATGCATTCACACTTCCACCACTAATAGTTTCAAAGTTGACAGGAACAGCATCTTCCAACCATCAACTGCCTGTTCTCAGCATCTGTTACTCTAAGATAAACCGTTCAAGAGACTGTTGATATATCACATCAATGGAAAGAGAAGCTGATGAGACTTTCTTTTGGTCACTTGGATGAAAGGGTAATGAAGCAAAAATGTTAGCCAATAGGAATTGATGCCTCTTCTGTGTCCTTAAAATGTCACAGGGAGCTGAATGGATGATTAGCTATAATATATGCTCTGTTACCCTTTCAATATCCATGGCCTATCATAGAGAAGAAATATGCAAACTTCATCTACATAAGTTCATTTCAATTTGCTGTATTACACTTGTTACAAGTGCGTTATAAGCCAAACGTTTTATTCTCGAAGCTCTGTTGGTGACAGTTATATATCGGGTCTGGAAACACTATGAAACTTCTTTTTTTAAGAAAAAACCCCCCACCAATCTTTAATTTTCACAAGTCAAATGTTGACATTCAGCAGAAATCGATGGATTTCAATTACAAGCTGGATATTAATCAACTAAAGAATCTACTGCCAGCCATAAGAGTCAAAGATCTGAGCTGCCCATGTGTTTGATTGTGAGGAATATCCCTCAAGAAAAGAACTGAAATCTAGTTGTATGTGGTGGTGGTAAGGGACCATTTTTCAATGATGTTGGGTTTCTTTAATATTGTGCTGGTCCTGCTACAATGCAGGATGGTCCTGTTGGATATGAAGACAGTACAAAGAAACAGCTGGGTTGAATTATCTTTGCAGCTGGTGTGACAGGCAAGAGCCACAGTGTCCTCTAGTGGTTGTGAGTTCCAATTAACACAGGAGACTGACTTATACCAGGCTAGCCCATTGGTCAGCCGCATATTAGCTACTCTGACCAGCTACAAGGCTGAGGTAATTCTACCTGCAGAAGATGTACTCTACCACTGAGCTCTCTGCTGCCTTTCCCAGCATCTCACAGGAGAGTTTACAAAGATGGTTGAAAATTCAGGAATAGTTCCTTATCTGTTTTTTGGAAAGGACTAGGGTTAATGACAAGAGTTTTCTTGGCTTTGCTTTACTAGCTGTACAACTCCACTGAATTTGTGCTGTTTGTGAGCAGTGGTTCACCCTGTGTGACATGTTATATCAGGGCATGCCATTTTAGGGGGTGCAATGTAGTTTTTGCCATTTACTTCAGTGAGGAATCTTAAAAACATGCGCTTTTTTTGGTGTGAGGAATTCAAATATGCTATAAGTTTTGTGGTCGGACAACACTCAGCTTGGTCAAGGTTTGATGAAAGAGCACATGAACTGCTTTCAGAAATCCAAGAAATTTAATTTCACCTTCTGAAAATGTCAGGGAATGCTAAATAATAGTAATAAGAAATAAGAAATAATACTGATATATAATATAACTGCAAGTGCTAGGCAATCATTTTAAATGATTTCTATGAAATTTTACGTATGCTTTACTTACCAAGCAAAGCTAAATTATATTAATTTAAGCAGAATAACTTTTGAATTCCCAAGTCACGTTACAACTTTTTAGCACTGCGCATTTTTTAAATTTGAAGGTCGAAAAATTCAGTCAAAATGCCCTAATGTTATATGCAGGAGATGTGGTAGGGCTGAGTCTCAGCTTCATGCATGCCTCTGACCTGGGTTGTATACCCTAACCACACAACCAGCTCATCTGTTATCATTTATTTTCTTTATATAAGTTACATACCAGTTAATATAAAAAAGCTCCCTCTGCTATCCTTATGTGACCCTCTGCACCTCACCCCCATCTGCCTCAAGGGGCTAGAGAAATAGATTTGGATGGTGGCACAGGCTCACACCTGATTATCTTGCAATCTTCTACCACACTTTACTGTTATATTCAAACACGACTGCTAAACTACTTAACGTTTGCAGCATAGTTATACTCTTAGATTGATGTGCGAACCTGAATGTTCTGTTTAATTGAAAGAAGCAATGCATAAATCACTAAGAGGAGGCAAAGGGTATCAAAAGGCCACATCCATCTAGGTTCAGAATTAGGTTAGTGCAAAAAGATCTTATGCAACCGACATGGAGAACTCTGCTGTTCTAGTGATGCCCAGCTGCAATGCCAGCATCGCCGTGTGCGAGGGAGGAACCAACTCCCTGGACCCCCGCAAAGTTGATGGGCATTCCCATTCAAATGATGTGTGTGCACTGTGTCATGTGATAAATTATGTGTGGCAGGGCTTTCCTGGGCCCCCACAATACTTTATTCAAGTTGGCATCCTTGACGCAGTACTGGGTTTCCCAATAAGCAGACTAAGCACTTGCTTAGGGCACCCATGAAGTGGGGGCACCAAAAAAGGAGATTTTTAAAAATAGAATATAACATCTGATTAAAAATAGAATATAACATCTGATATTTCAAAAACAACAACAAGTAGTCATCAAAAACAGAACTTTGTGAGACTTCTTTACACCCCATTACCTCTTCTTTCCCTGCTGTTCTGTTTTAATTACTTTTCATTACTTATCCTTACCTAAACCAGCAGGCACCCTGTGAGGCACTGCCATTGAAAGGTGTCTAAGCCTTGCTGCTAACAATGTTAAAGTATACATAACATACAAATACAATTTTTTTTTAATGTACTATAGTATTAGGAAGATAATTTGAGCAGCCAAATTTGGAGTCCAGTGCTGCCTGATAATGTTTTGTTTCTTTTGAAATGTTCACAGCAGCAGCAGAAAAGGGCAGATGAAATTACCAATGGAAATTCTTCGATGTAAATTGATGCCACCCCAGGAAAGTCTGCTTTGACGGTGTTACCAGTTCTTCTTCAAGCATAGTTTCTAACAGTCCTTGGCAGTAGATACCTGCAGCTCTCAGGGTGCAAGTTCTGTTTATTTGTTTGTTTCCTTGCTTGTTTGCAAAGAATCAGCCTCCTACAATGGACGAACAAGGCAGTGACAGACCTGCTAATCCTGAAGATGAATTAAGTGTAAGTAAGTAAACTTTAAATGCACTGCAATGTTGTGCCTGGTTGAAATAACAATGTGTTCTGTTTATCATATACTTGCTGAACCCATGAATTATGAAAGCGATATCTGGGAACTAATTGGCGCTGTCAATGCTGTAGCTGATTTTAACTGGTTTTTTTGGTGAAATATGATGTGCATTTATTTACATGCAATTGATAGGGCACGAGATCAGCCCTTGAGAGCTGATGGCAGGAGATTTGCATCAGGAGGCGGAGTGAAGTTCTGTTAAAACTTATTTCATTCCTGGATGCAATTTTTGAAAAACAAATCAATTAATTATACAGCATATCTAAATATAGTTCGCATTCAGCTAGTTGGCATAGTAACTGTTATCTTGGACTGCTGACAGGTGGTTAAAAGGAAGAGGAGGACTTAAATAATTCAGTGTTCTGTGATACTTAAATTGCTTTATTAATGGGAATGAATTCTACAATGCATAATCAGAGGTGGCACAAGCGAGGGGGCAGGGAGACACATTGTTCTTTAACCGATTAAAGGAATAATTTGAGATACTTAAATTGTAGCAGTCAGCTATGAAATTTGCTGGATAAAGTAACCGTGCTGAAAATGCACTGTTCTGCTGTTGGCGTCTGACCAAATAGTATGATGGAAGGAAAAGCAAGGAAGTTCAAAAGAGTTTATAGTCCCTGTGAAATATTTAAAGGGAGAAAGGGTTGACCAGGAAAAATGTGAAACCCTGTTAATGTGATTTGATTTATGTCCTGCCCTTCTTCACAAAGAAGCACAGGACACTTTGGATATGGGAGATGGCCCTTTTTGAACTGAGTGTTTCAATAGCAAAAGGTGCTTCTTTGACGGCTACTGATAGCTGGAAAATTGAGCAGCAATGACAGTTGATGTCTGGTGGCTGCTATGTACTGACTCCACCTCACCAGCTTGGGCTGGAGAGAAACGTTTTGTGCTGTAGCCAGCAAAGTAAAGGGAGGGGAAAGCAGATGTGGCATTATTTGCACACATTTATAAAATTATTATTATTATTAGTGGTAGAAGTCGTAGTGGTAGTAGTATTACAAACTGTAAGTACCGTAGCAACCTTAGGGCTGCATGTGTAGGGTGCTTCAAGCCTATCACTTCACCAGATTCCAGATTGTCACCTCTGCTGATTGTGTTGAAATTCTTTGCTGCTGGTATGTTATTTTATATAGTGCACCAAGGACACAGTAGTAAAATAATAAACAGACCATGAGAAACAGTTTTAGGAGTGTATGGTGGTCCTAACAGAAAAGTAAGACTCATTGAGATTTACATTTGTGTAAGCAAACCGGGATCGTGTGGGATATCACAACTGCTGTGGCATTTTGATGAAGCAATAGAGCACTGAAGAGTCACTCATGACCACACCGACAGCAGAAATGGCAGGCAAGGCATGCCATTCAAGTGTGGAATGAATATGTCTGCCTTTGGGAAATGCTGAATTGAGAGATACTGGACATTTATCTATGTGATTCTTTCCCCCACTTTGATTAAGGTATCAAATGTATCAGTACAAATGGCAGATTCAGAAGAAAAGTGGGAAAGAATTGCAAGGAAACTCAATAGGTCAGCAAAATCAAAGAGGAAAGCCAAAAGAAACAAGTCTCTCTGGAATTTTCAAAATAAAATCATCCTGTTTACAGTGGTCCTCTTCATTGTAGGTGTTATAACTTGGACATTGTTGTGGCTCTTTATTGGTGAGTATCTGTATCTGCATTGTAGGCAATGATTTATGAGGCCTTTCCCCATATTTACATTTGAAGAACACTCATAGATGTATAAACAATGCTCTAGAAAATCATTTTCTATTATGTTGCTTTTTATTGGCTCTAGAAAAGGGTTTTCTATTTACAATGGAAGCTGTTTTTCTCCTTCAGAATATGTGTATGCCGGAATGTCAGTTAAAAGAGAATCCTAGCAGCATCTTGGAAAACCTGTCTCACAGAGCCCAACATTTAACTAGATATAGGAGAGTAGTCTGGATGAGAATTTGGTTCTATAGGGTGTGCACCCACAGCTCCAAAGTGAGAGGAAGGTCTCCATTAGCTATTCTTCTTATTGAATTGTCCTCCACCATAACCAACCAAAACCCAAGTTTGTGTGTGTGCTTTATGTGATTTTCTATAAATGCATTTCTTCCTTGTTTTGCTTCATGATGGAGAATGGGCTATTGCATTATTTTTCTGGCTCTATAGTGAAAAACTTTTTAAAGGGCAAAATGCTAATATATTATTATGTAGTGAAATTCCAACATACTAAGGAAAACCTGGTTATCATGTGAGGGTCTATTGGCTAGTGTCTGTGCCCTTGACAAGATACTTTCCACAAAGCAGTTTACTCATTTTTAAAGTAAGTGTTCATTATATGTAAGAATGGACACACACATGACTAGATATATGTTGCTTTAATATTTTTAAAGTAGTACTTAGTCCAAAAGATAAGGTGACGCACATGACTGATTACTGATCTACCATTCAGATTGCAGGACTGTGTGCAAGACTGCACAGACTATCATTGTGTGCTACCTGGTTGGTGTTGACCCATATCAGAGCCTTCTTGGTAGCAGTTCTCCATCTGTGAGATGCTTTCCCTGGTGAGATGTCTCTGTCTCCCTCATTATTAACATTAAGGAAAGTTTGAAAAACACTCCTGTTCATCCAAGTGTTTGATGGCTGAAAGATACTATTCCTGGCAACCTTGACATTATTATCATTAGCTATTTGGATAGGTTACTATTTTAAACTTTGAAAAATGTATTGTTTTGATGCTTTGTTGTGCTCTTTTTATTGCCATAATGAAAAAAGGAAAAATAAAAATAACACTCACCTTTTTTGTTTTACAGTTCAGGCAGAAAACAAAGATGCACTGTATTTTGTTGGATTATTTCGTGTTGCCAACATTGAGTTTCTCCCAGAGTATCGGCAAAAGGAATCCAGGGAGTTTCTCTCTGTTGCACAGAATGTGCAGCAAGTGGTAAGGAAAAAACGCCAACCCTTGTGTTCCACATTATCACCAAAGCATATGCAATAATCAGCTGGTTGTGTGGACCCAGCAATCCTTGTCTTTTGTAGTGTGTCAATAAAGGGAGATAACACATTCTGGAATTTTCTCTCCGCGTCGTATTTGCAGTACCATAGAAAGATTACTGCTGGATCAGGATGAAGGCTCACCTTGTCCAGCATCCTGTTCTCACAGTGGCCTGAAACAGAACTCTCCCTGCTGGCGTTTCCTAGCAACTGGTATTCAGAGTAATACTGTCTCTGGCTGTGGAGGTAGAACATAGTCATCATGGCTTGTAGACACTGTTTGCCTTATCCTCCATGGATTTGTCTAATACTCTTTTATAGCCAAGTTGATGGCCATCACTACAATGCCACAATGTCATGTAGTCTTCCCAGGGAAAACAGAGAGAGAAGGAGGGAGGGAGGGAGGGAGGGAGGGAGGGAATAATAGAATCATAGAAGTGTAAAGTGGACCCTGAAGGTCACCAATCCAACCCCTTGCTATGCAGAAATCTCAACTAAAGAATCCAGGACAGATGGCCCTCCAACCTCTGCTTTAAAACCTCCAAGGAAGGAGACTCTAAAAAGTTTCAAGTGAGTCCATTCCACTGTCAAACAGATCTTACCACCAGAAATATCTTCCTCATGTTGAGTCAGAATCTCCTTTCTTGTAACGTGAATCCATTGGTTTGGGTTTTCATCTCCAGAGGAGGAGATAACAAGCTTCTTCCATCCTCCATGTGACAGTCCTTTAGATATTTGAAGATGGCTATCCTCTCTCCTCTCAGTCTCTTAGCCAGGCTCAACGTACCCAGCTCCCTCAACGGTTCCTCATAAGGCTTGGTTTCCAAACCCTTGATTGTCTTGGTCACCCTTCTCTGTGCATGTCAAGGATTGTCAATAGCCTTCTTAAATTGTGGTACTCTGAACTGGACACAGTACTCCAGGTGTGGTTGACCAACACACACATGCAGATAATGAATCCCTCTTGTACTGAGTCAGACCATTGGTCCATCCAGCTCAGTATTGTCTACACAGATTAGTGGCAGCTGTCCAGGAGTTCAGGTAGGAGTCTCTGCTAACCCTCCCTGGAGATGCCAAGGATTGAACTTCGGACCTTCTGCATGCAAAGCAGATGCCCAACCACTGAGCTGCAGCCCTAATGTGGCTTCTTGAAGGAGTACGCAGCTTTCAAAGAACTAAATTCAATAGAAAGAGGGAAGTGGAAGGGCACTGCTGATGGGTGGGGGTTCAATAGTTGTTGGAATTTGGTACATTCTCTCCAATAATGAGTGCTTGAAATGGTGCAAAGAAGAGCAAAGGCATGAGTCTCAGTCTTTAATGAATATGCTTAAAATACAAGATGTGTCTGTGTGCATGAGTTATGCTGCACAGTCACTATCCAGTAGGTCCCATGCAACTTGCACAGCCACATCCCCAAAATAAATGGGTCTTGGTAGACTGGATGGCTCAAAACTAACTGACCAAACTTTCAGCACTTTTTGCTGGTCTTCATTGTATTTCCCCTTTCTCTTAACTCACTGTCTCTGTTATTTACTGTTTATTCATTGTGCACTGGAAAACCAGCCAAGAGCTGGAAGAAAAACATGATTCCCAGGGAAGCACCACTTCCCAAGGATTCCTTATGCTTTACATTGAAGATGCACCTGTTTACATAGGCATTCCCTCAATCTCTCAATCTGAGTCTTCTGATTTACTGCAATCATGGTGCTGTCTTGATAGTATTGTTTTACTGCATATTTTATAGATGTGCTCATTTTAATTTTTAATGAGATTGATTTATTGCATAGTTTAAATATGGATGCTTATATTTTAATGTTTGCATAACTGGGTGGGATTTTTTGTGGGTAATCTTGTTTAGAATTCTATATTGGCATTAATATGAATAATGCAGTCAACAACTTAAATACCTTATCATAAAGGTACTACAAATCTCCAGTACTCCCTCCTTCAAAGCTGAGAATGATATCCTTGTTATAAATAAACAGGGCTGCTGAATCTGCTGTACTGCACATCAGGCAACTCTCAGGGTGCTTCCAGACTTTCGCTATTTTGGGGCAGGATTCAATCACATACAGACAAATTCAGGTTGCACAATTAAAGTTGATTTGAAGGTCTTGCATAACCTATTTCCTTCCCCTAAAGATCAACTCTTTTGTGATAAGAAAAGGAATGGGGGAATGTACCAGAAACTGTGGGGGTAAGACCTCCTTGACACAACATTGTCTAACCTCCCCACAAAGAAATCAGAATAAATGCTCATTAAACAGCCAACATTGTCTAATTGCCCTGCAAAGAAATCAGGATGAATATTCAATAAGCTAGTTATCTGGAAGTGCCCTCAGCAAGATTAATTTTAATTTAGTCTGTGTGGGATTGCCCAACCATTCTGTGCATCTTCTCTTTCAGATGAACTTGGTATATACCAAATCTGCTTTCTCCAAATTCTATAAGCAATCCATTGTCTCAGATGTCAGGTGGGACATATTTTCCATTTCATTTGTGGCTGGGGGTCTTAGCGAGAAATAATGTCGTGTTGCAGCATTTACTATCCATGTACTGTCTCTTGTTGCAAACCAAAAGCCTCATCATATGTGACCAAATCCAAACACAGAAAGCACTCCCATGTCCCATAAAGTATCTTACATTTTAAAAATGTTGGTACATTAAAAACAGCAACAGCAACAACAACAATGATGAGAAAAGCTATAGATTTTCAAGCACCCGAGTCTCAGAAACACCGTGATGTAATTTGCTTTTTCATTTGATTTCAGTAACAACAACAATGGGGGTCTTCTTGTCCATTTCTGGATTGTGTTTGTGGTGCCACAGGCTAAAGGCCAAGTGTTTTGTGAAGATTGTGTAGCTGCTATTTTAAAGGACTCAATTCAGACAAGCATCATCAATCGAACCTCAGTAGGGAGTCTTCAAGGCCTTGCTGTCGATATGGACTCCATTGTGCTTAGCGGTTGGTATCCCTTGGCAGTTGCTATTTTTCCTCTGAAGAAAGTGAACCTTCTAATACAATTAATAGCTTGCTGTACTGAAAAAAACTAGAATTCATAACTTTTGCCTCTGAAATAATCACCTCATGGAACTGGAAAAGCAGAAATGCTATGTGGAGATCTGAACTGGGCCTAATGGTGCTAATCCAATTTTCGCTCAACAGGGTGATGGTGATAATTGGATTTATGTCCCTTTGTGTTTATCATCAGTTGATGCCGTGTGTCATTGGAACGTCCTCCCTCCTAATGACTTTCCTATAGAATTCAATCCATTCATATAGGAATGTGCTCACGTGTCTGCTTTGATATATATGGTGTCAGAGCTAGCCATACATTAAGTAGAATCATAGAATCATAGAGTTGGAAGAGACCACAAGGGCCATCGAGTCCAACCCCCTGCCAAGCAGGAAACACCATCAGAGCACTCCTGACATATGGTTGTCAAGCCTCTGCTTAAAGACCTCCAAAGAAGGAGACTCCACCACACTCCTTGGCAGCAAATTCCACTGTCGAACAGCTCTTACTGTCAGGAAGTTCTTCCTAATGTTTAGGTGGAATCTTCTTTCTTGTAGTTTGGATCCATTGCTCCATGTCCGCTTCTCTGGAGCAGCAGAAAACAACATTTCTCCGTGTCTACTTCAGACAGCTAGTTTTTGATAGGGTTGTGCACAGCGCCCCTGCCTGGCCTAATTTGGGCCTCCAGGATCAATCCAAACCAGGGAAACCTGCCCTGGATTCAGCCCAAAATAAATTAAAATGCTCTCATTAAACATACGGCCAGGAGAAGCACTGGGGAAGGAGATGCTGTATCTCCACCCACTTAAACCAAGAGCATGAGGGTTCCCACCTGCAGGGTGCTGCTTTGCAAGTGGCTCTGCTAAGGGGAAGGAGCTTGTGAAGAAGCACCCTGAACCCCACAGGCTGGAATCCTCAACTCAACAGAGTGGAGAATTAATGTATTATTTTTACCACCAGGGAGAAGTGAGAGGCGCTCCTGGGATTTTCAAGCTCAGGTGGTTGGCCTTGGGACTGTTACCTTACCTTGCGGTGTGGGGGTGGGTGGGTGGGTGCTTGAAGCAATAAGAAATGTTTTTGGCCAACCCTATGTGGAGTTCCACAGTGAAACTAGCTGGCAGGATCCTGTATCCCTCTCCCTGCAAGTTCATTGCAATGCATTTTAAGTCTTTAAGTCTGAATAAAATCCTGGAAAACATCCTTTCGTGGTGGCTTCACAAATTCACATGAATTATTGTCATATCAATAGGTCCCTATTCTCAAGTTCCAAATTAACACTGCAATGCAGTGCAGTCTCATATTGTGTGGTGGTTACATTCCAGAGATGGCGCTTATATGCAAAAATGTGTATACTTCAACTAGCCCTTTGGAGCTACCCAGTGTGAGCATCCTTACCTTTCCAGAGTTGTACACCATGTGGGCCTTGCCTGTCCCCCAAGCAAGGCAGAGAGCTTTTACCAGGCTCTGGGATGCTCGCACAATATCTTGTGGGACTGTTCAAGCTCCAGCAAGATATCTCAAGTGCATCCCAGAGTCCAGTAAGTCTGAAAGCTTAAATGCTCTGAGGAATAGTTCAGTCAATAGAGCATGGGACTCTGAACCTCAGGGTTGTGGATTGAAGCCCCACTTTGGGTGAAAGATTCCTGCATTGCAGGGATTTGGACTAGATGATCCTTCTGATCCCTTCCAACTATGCTACTGTGATTCTTTCTGCACTGAGAAAACCCTGCACAGAAAGAACATTTAAGCTCTCTGCCTTCTCTGCATGTCATTTGTGTGATTACTACTGGCCAGACTTCAGCCACTTCATGTTGAAATCACACATGTTAAATGCATATATGTTGTGATCATACTGTATTACATTCATATGTTGCCTGCTGGTCTGTTTGTTTAAATATGCGCAGTCATTTGTATTTTCTCCTCCCATGCAGTTGGACTTCGATCAGATTACTCTTCAACAACAGGAACAGGTACATGACTGAGTTTTTTTAAAACACATTTTCCCATTTAACACATTTCAAAATGGGAAACGTATTTATGTGGTGAAAATTGAATCCTGCCTGTATCTGTATCACGTTCTACAATGTAAGCTTTATACAGGGCTAAACATGGGATCTGTTGGGTAATTTAGCATTTAGATCATGCTTTTGAGTGTTCAAAGATGTCATTCTCACAACAACCTGAAAGGGAAATCAGTATTGGGAAATGCTTCCTGTTTCCCTGGGAGATAATGAGTTTCAGAAGGAGACACTACCATGGTTTGGGCTTCTTTAGAGGAAGGGTTTGTGATATTTCAAAAATATTTTGTTTGCAACTATAGAAGTATAGAATCAGTAGGGACAATCAGTGTGTACACTGATACCAGACAGCAGAAGTGCAGCCCTCACATCAGATCTGCCAAGACCCCAAGACGCTCCTGATTTCACAGCTAGAGATGAGGGGGAAAGTCACCTTCAAACCATTATGCAAATCTAAGCACAGTTATTATTCAAAATTCATATTACCCATCTTTGATGTGGTTCTTCCAGCAAATAATGTGTACAGAAATGTGTTTATTAACAGGAAGTATAGATAAAAATGCATATATTCATGAATATATATAATATGCATTATATCAGGACAATTGTTTGCAAAAAGGGAGACATCTGCACTAAAATGCTGCCACATTTTAATGAGAGGTGTTGTTTTTTTTAAATTAAATTGATGCAGAAATAGGGAGAATTAAACTTAAGACTGGAAAAATGAGAAACTGAAATCGATAGATTTGGCCATTCCTGCTAGCAACTGCTTCTTCTAGGTCTGCTTCTTTCAATCTGAAAATGGCTTTTATTCCTCTGCTCACTCACTCTCCCACACATACATTCACACCACACATCTCTCTTTCTGTCTTTCCCTCTCCTCCTGTCTCATTGTTTCCAGATGACCTGTTTACTGAATATTCATTCTGATTGTTTGCACAACTTTGTGGGAATGCCAGCTCTTTACTGAGTGCTCGCTCTGGTTTGTGGGGAGCACTGCAGGCCCACATGTGAGGCAAGGTGAAGCAACTGCTTTGGGTGGCAGGATCCTCAGGTGACAAAATTTCTTGGTCTGGCCCTATCTAATACTCTCTCTCTCTCTCTCTCTCTCTCACACACACACACACACACACACACACACACACACAGAAAGAACTCCTTTGGTGTCTTCCCCTCCAATGCATCTCCTGACTATTGAAGTAAGAGGCAGCTGGTTAGCTTTTTGGAACGGGGAAATAAGGAGTATCTTATCCTTTGCCTCAGGCAGCAAAATGTCTTGGGCGGTTTTTGTGGGAAGGTTACATGATGTCACATCAAGCAATTATTATCTCACACTTTTCAGCACATTTTTTCCTGTCACTTTTCAAAAGGCAATTTTTTAGAAAAGTGGCTGCAGCAGCATTAGGTGGGGTGAAGCCATTGCCTCAGGTGACTGAATTCCCATAGGGGGCTTCTGTGTGGACACCTCACCTGCCCTGCAACCACTGCCACCAATGTCTGGTGATATCTCTCTGAAATCACATTAACTTGGTTTTAACATCTGCTTTTATGGGCATTTTTAATTTATATGATGTATTTTTTTTTTGCAAACTGCTTAGATTGAGCGGCATTTAAATCTAGTTAATTTTTTTTTTATAAATACAGTGGTACCTTTGTTCCCGAACGGCCTAGTTAATGGGCTCCTGAATGCCGCAAACCTGGTTTTGCGAACATTTTTTGGAAGCGAATGTCTGTTTCGGCTGTCGGCATTGTTTCTGGGGCCAATCAGCCAATCAGAAGCCGTGTCTTGGTTTTTGAACATTTTGGAAGTCGAACAGACTTCCAGAATGGATTGAGTTCAAGAACCAAGGAACCACTGTACAGAAATACATTTTTGGGGGGTTTGAATCCAAAATTAAATGGGCAAATCTGGTTATAAATGTCAGTAGGATCAATTGATATTTTATCAGTGACATGTGAAAAATATTATCTTGCCTTTCCGTAAAGCTTAAGCATTGTCTTTTACCAAGCATTGTAATCTCCATGATACTAATCAACATTTACTGTAGGTTCAAGTTGCATATATGATCTGCATGCAGACCGGCTGCACCAGCACTTTCCATTGGACATTTCAACAGCATCTGGAAGGATGATCTGCTATTTCAAACTGATTGCATTGGTCGGCTACTTAATCCGCCTCTCCGTAGCATCCATTCAGATTGAAGCAGACAATTGCATCACTGATTCATTGACCATTTATGACTCCCTGATGCCAATCAAAAGTAAGATACTGTATCGGTAGGTATGCCTTTTCAGTACAATTTCTTTGGTTTCTGCAAGCAGAAAAGAAGTTCATTTTTTAAAAAACAAAAACAAAACAAAAACGTGTATATTAAACTTGTCCATTGGCAGCCATTGTAGATTCCTTAGCAAGGTATTGCTTGCTAGCAGTATGTTGCTCCTAACAGCAGATTGCAGACCAAACTTTATGGGAAGACCCACAAAAGAGTGTGTTGCAATAATCCTACCTCAATGTTATCAGTCCACCTGGGAGTCATTTGGAAGGAAGGGCAGGATAGATTGGGGCAGGGGTCCCAAAGGCATGTGATTGGCAAGCATCTTGTCCATGTTATTGAATTGCATTAACTGATTGAAGCAGATGGGGCTTTGAACACCCCTATAGGATCTGCTGTGACAACAGTATCAAAGTCTAATATGAGTTTACCATCACAGTTACTGTGGCTTTCTTAAACTATTGGCTAGCCAAAGGGCCAAATCTAGTAACGAGGCTAATGATGCATTGTAATTCCCATACTTTCTACACATGAAGAAAAATCAATTTATTTTCAGAATTTGTGAACCAACCAATTCATTCCTGTCTTTCGTTTCTACAAATAATTTGATGCTGGTTACTCTGAAGTCCACACAAGTGAAGAAAGTGAAGGAATTTCATGGGTACTTTGAGGTCATCCCACAAGAAAGTAAGTGTTCTCATTTGTTAAATGTGGAAACTCCAGCTGTAGACTCATCATTAGTTAAGTTTTTCCCCCTACCATCAAAAACAGTACACATCCTACATCAGATATGTGAGACATACCTGTCTGAATTTATGTTTTCTGTCACCTTTATAACATTTCCCTCTTTCATCTTTCCCATGACCTGCCTAACTTCAGCTCCTTTTACAACCAGTTGTTTGTTGGCTTGCTTCTCAATGTCTTCAGTCTCCAGGGCTCACCCAGCTGTATAAGTAATCCAAGTAATTGCACGGAAGGGCAGTTTATTCAGGTGCCATTGAAACAGCATGTAATCTAAGAACTGCACCTCAGCATCTTCTGTGACCCTGCAAGGGATTCTGGGGTCTCAGATCATGCAGTGCAGCTCTGCAGCATGGAAAATGCCTTGCTGCCCTAACCATTTGCAGATACCACAACGTGAAACATCAGTTGCATTTTCATTATAGAAATAACCAGTATCCCTTTTACTCCATTATGCCAGCAGATGGAGTAGTTGTCAAATACACATATGACATGAGACTGTTGTTAGTTTCACCGTAACAAAAGAATATAGGAGGCTGCCTTGAATGAAGTCAAACCTCTGATTCATCTAGTTCAGTATTGTCTTCAGTGACTGAAAGTGGCTCTCCAGGGTTTCAGACAGGGGACCTTCCTAGCCCTACCACAAACTGAATCTGGGATCTTCTGCATGTGAAGCAGGGACTCTGAGTGATGGTCCTTCCCAAACAATTAGCGGCATTTCAAAATAACAAAGCTCATTATGTCACTGGAACCAGGTATACATTTTTCTTGTTGACATGCTTCCCCATTATGGGTCCTTGTGGTCCATTTCACCCTTTTTTCTTTATCTGTCACATCTTTTCCAATAGGGATAGTTGTTGGGTCAGTGGGACAGACTGGGGGTGCTGTTGGTTAACTACCCACCCAGTTGCCCAATGACCACCTTAACCAAGCTGTTGGAGGTGGTATCCATGATTATAGTTCTGCATGACTTCAATATTCATGCCAAGGCTGCTATCTTTAGTTCAGCTTGGGACTTCATAGCCTCCATGACAATCAGGGGGCAGAACAACACAAAAGGCAGGGTGTGCACTAAACTTAGTCTTCACTTTAGGGCAAGTGCTGGAGTAGATGTTGGAGGGATGGAATTGATCTTTTTGTCATGGTTAGATCCCTAGTAAAGTTTGGGCTTGCAGCATCAGTATACCCCCATAGGGGTGGAGGACCGATTCAGATGGTCTCAGAGACTTACAGAATCTGATCTGGGGGATTTTCCAGTAGCCATATCTGGTTATTCTTTTGAGGACCTAACTTTACTGTGGAATACTGAAATGGGGAAGACAATTAACACTAAATCCACAGAGTGCCCCATCTGACACTGCAAAGCTTGCTGTGTTCCTTGGTTTTCCCTAGAACTACAAGCAATGAAGCAGGTGGATGATGGCCAGAGCAGAAGTGGTGCAACTTCTGGTGTGAAACCAACCACACAGTGGTTAGGAAGCACAACCACATGCACCATGAAGTGAAGCGACGATGGTAGCAAAAAAGACCTATGTCTCCATCATGTCCTCAAGTAGTCCTCCATGTGATGAAAAAGCTGATATTGCTTGCCCTGGTTAATTTTTATGCACCTTGTTTTGTGTCTGCTGTTTACTATGTTTTGCCTTGTTTTCATTGTTCACCGCCCTGAAACATACATAAAAAGGCAGGACAGAAATCCTAAAACAAACAAAGTATTACTTAAAAAGAAGAAAGCCATACTGGAAGTAATGACTTCTTCTTTTGGCTGATTCTCGGTTTCCAGATTGTGCAATAATATGGAAATGCATCTTTCTTTTCTCAGAATGCGGCAAAGCTATACTGGCATTGGGAAGTCCTCGGTTTGAAGGGAGAATCATGAGTCCTTATTACCCAAGTTACTACCCTCCAAAATGCATTTGCACATGGAGTTTCCAGGTAATTTTGAAACCCCATTGTGCAGGTGTTTCGCAACTGCCCTTTGGTGTGTTTCGTGTCAGTTGGAAACAGGGCTCTCTGTCTGTCAGTCTCTCTTTGCAAGATTCTGAGCCCTTTGATCTCAGCACAAAGCTTGGATCTCGATCTCTCTCTTTGTGGGTCAAGTAGCTGTAGTAGGAGATGAAAGGTTCCCTTGTGAGGTGATGGAAAGCTGCACTTCCTCTTGGCCACTGCCAGTCTGACCTCTTTCCCAAGGCTCTGAGGAGCTGGCATCTGAGCTGCGGCAAGTGCTGTTGCTCCCTGTAGCCTGGCACAGGGAAAACAAAAAGTGCTACTGCTGTGATGGGGACCCTGTGGTCAGTTTTGAACCAGCAGCATGTTAGTGCTTAAACCTGGGTGTCAATGCTCAGATCTGGAAGCCCTTATTCACAGCTGTATCAGACCTTGATGTGGCTACTCAGTGGGGAGAACGAAGTTACAGGGAACCAGGCAGAGGGCCTTCTCGGTAGTGGCGCCCACCCTGTGGAACGCCCTCCCATCAGATGTCAAAGAAATAAACAATTATTCTGACGTTTAGAAGGCTTCTGAAGGCAGCCCTGTTTAGGGAAGTTTTTAATGACTGATGTTTATTTAATGTATTTTTAATCTTTTGTTGGAAGCCCCCAGAGTGTCTAGGGAAACCCAACCAGATGGGCAGGGTATAAATAATATATTATTATTATTATTATTATTATTATTATTATTATTATTATTTAAGATCATAAGCAGGCTCCTGCTGGATCAGGATAATGACCCGTCCAGTCCAGCATCCTGTTCTCAAGTGGCCAACCAAGTGTATACAGGAAACCTACAAACCAACAGTGGAGGCCACACATGCCAGCATCCGAGTGAGAATGGTGGCACAGTGTGTGATGCCGCACACATGACATCCTGACATTGTACGTGTGATAAAACAACAACAAACCTTTGGTTACATGAAACATATTCAATAAACACACAAGACGTAACCGACTGTACATTTGAAAAGATAAGATATACTATTCATTGTATTGAATTGTAGATTTCAACAGAAGTAGCTCATAAAGTTCAATGAAAAAAGTAGAAGACCCAGTGGATCAGTTCATTCTCTAATCAATTTATGCATAAGGTCCATATATGTGAAAGTGTCTGTTCCACCTGTCTGTTCATAAAGTCCAACAATGCACACAAAGGGTTGTTACAGTTCCACAGAATCCTTTCACAGAGTCTGACAAGGATTTCCAGAATATTAGCCAGGACAGTGGATCTTATAGCATAGTAGTAGTGATATCATATATGAGTTTGTACTACTGATGAAGCCTAGGACGGTGAAACAAGGCTAAACAAGGCATAAAATGATTAGAGAATGAACTGATCCACTGGGTCTTCTACTTTTTTCATTGAACTTTATGAGCTACGTCTGTTGAAATCTACAATTCAATACAATGAATAGTATATCTTATTTTTTTAAACGTACAGCCGGCTACGTCTTGTGTGTTTATTGTACATGTGATGTCATGACGTCAGAGGAGCTGGGGTGAAGCCTAGCACAGCAGCAGCGCATTAGCAGCACAGCTTCAATGGCCATGGCTGCTCTTGCTCCTGCTGCCGCCACCAGCCTGGAGCTGCTTCCAAACTCCTTCCCGTCCGTGGCAGCAGAAGCAGGAAGAGGAGCCCAGAGCATTGAGGCTGCCCCATGCACAGCTCTGTGCTCAGCCTCATGGGAGGCCTTTTGGAGGGCTTAACCCCCAAAATATTTCGGGGCCCAAAAGGGCTCAGCCCCCAGGAGATGGTGCCCCTGGTGGAGGTAGAACATTATTCCCCTTGAACTTGTTTAATTTTATTTTAAAGCCATCCAAGTTGGGAGCCAATCATACATACTGAGGGAGAAAATTCCTTAGTAGACATTCGGTGCCTAGTTTGTCAGAGCCTCCACCCAAAGCATACTGCAGGAATAGCCGGGTGATTTTTGTTGAGGTAGCAAACGTTAGCACACATTTAACCTACTGCAGAATGTGGTTCTCATCAGATGTGTTTCCATTTTATATTGTAACTGGTATCTGCATGAATCTTGATGAGCTCTGGGACAAGTGAAACCCTTGCATGTATCTTATAGTAGGAGTAGTAGGAGTAATATCAAGCTGAATTGTCCACAGTTGTTAAAAATATTTTTAAAATGTATCCCTTATTTCCTTAAAACAGACTCCCCTGAAAAATCTTGGCATAGCTCTGAAATTTCATAATTATACTATCAGTGAAAAAAGCATTAAAGGCTGTGAGCACGGATGGTGGAAAATTAACGAACACATGTAAGTATATGAATATAGGCTACATATTTTCTAGGAGGTAGGCAGCAGATTGAGGAAGTTGTCATAGCAAGTAGTCATGTGATCATTACATCATCCTGATGGCCTTTATTTTAATGTGCATGGCAAGATACAAACTGTTCTCATTTGCTTCATGTTCATTCTTCAGCATCGTTTGGATATGAGGTATCCTGTCTGGCTTGTGTCAGTTGCAGAATGGGGAAGGCTTTCGAGCCGAAGGCAGTAGCTGATGGTGCAGTGAGACAACAGTGCTTACCTGACCTCCCAGCAGTGGAGTCGCTGCTGCTTACTGGGAGGGAGAGTGGGAGAATTAAATGGTGGAGAGGCTGGTGCTGAGCGAATACACCAGCAGGAGCTCTGTATTGACTTAGCTGATGTGTTTGCTCAGCTTGGGCCTCTCCAACACCTTGCCCCTCTTACTCTCTCTTGGCTTCCAGTAAGTTGTAGCTACTCTACTGCCATAAGGTAACATAAATGATGATGCCCTGCCACACTGCCTGCTACTGGCCCAAGGGTCACATTCGTTTCTGGGTAACGTTCTGAGGGCCACATGCTGCTGATGAGTTGGGCAGAGGCAAAAGCTGGAAGGATATCATTCTCCATTCCAGTTGACATTAAGCCCAGATATTTATAGGGGCAAATACAGAACATGCTGGGGTGTGTGTCTACATAGAAATGTATAGCGGCACCCTAAATTATTTGACCTCAGAAACTTGTGACCATAGGAAACATACCTAATGAGGCTATTTGTCCATTGGCCCAGTACTGTCTACTCTGATAGCAACTTTCCAGGCCGGGTGTGTGGAGAGAGATGCTTTCCGTTATCTACTGCCCGGCTTAACTGTGGAGACAATTAGAAATTTAACCTGCAACCTTTTGAATGCAAAGCACATCCGTCACTGTCACTGAGCAAATTCCCTACTCGAAGCATACAACAAACATACAACCTCATATTAAAATACTGAGATCACATAAGAAAGCTTTACAGAGAAGGCAGCAACCTATGAACCACTTTGTTTCGCCATGTGCTGTTTCCTCTATGTTCTGTTCTGGCAGTTCTCTTGACCCTCCAAAGTGGATTTGGGGGAAGTCATAGGGGTGCACATAGAGGGAGGAGAGGATGGGGAAAGCCCAGTTGTGCTAGCAGGAGTTGAACCCTACTCTTACTCTTTTGTACCAGGTGATGATTTTAGCATGCAGTTGTTAAAAACGTTGAGGAATTCAAATATTCTACAACTACGACTGTTCTTGTCTTTCGGTGATGAAAGATGTTCCATGCCCCACAAGTTAACATACATTCATCCCACAGGTATTGCGGTTATTACATTGATCACCAAACAATATTCCGAGTTGCAAGCTTTGCAGTTAACGTTGAGTTTCAATGTAGTTCCAAAATTTCAGAGCAGCCACTGCTTGTAGAATATGGAAGCTACAATATCAGCCAACGTAAGACTGATTTTAACTTTCCTTTATAGCTTTTGGAACACCACCTGAATGCATCTTTACTAAAAAATACTGGAAGCCATCTTTGGCATGCAGGATAATGCTGAGTTTTTGCATGTGAAGGTTTTTTCTTTCTTTCTGTTTTCTACTTTCTATCCAACAGTTATAATCCACATTTCAGCTATATAAGCTTGATGTGACATGGTTTTAAGAACATGTGTATAAGATGGCAGCCGCTCCTATTATTTTTTTAAAAAAGCATGACTTGCTAATGCATGCTAAGCAACATGACTTGCTAAATATGCTGAAATATGAAATTATAACAGACTTCCCAAACCTGGTGTCTTCCAGATGTTTTGGACCACAACTCCAATCACCCCCCAATCTACAGAGTTGACCTGGCTGGGGTTGATGGAAGTTGTAGTCCAAAATATATTCAGATCACCAGATTAGGGAAAGCTGAAATAGATTACACCTATAAATGATTTGGCAAATCAGCTATTGAGTTAACCCTTCCTAGTAGAGCATGGCATGAGACTGAGATGTGTCCTTGTATGCTATCTTTCTTAGACTATATGCCTCAGCTTTGACCAGTATCTTCTTTTCCTGATAAATTGGTAGTTTTAAATTTTATCTCAGGTTTATGAGTAACTCACAAAATAATATTTCATTGAGTTTTATTAAAAGGCAGTACCTTCCAAGTAGCATTCCTGCCCCCTTTGTAATAAATAAGAGTGATGCAAAAGCACCTATGAAGCACATTTCATTTTGGGAGAACCAACTGTGTCATTAACTGGTGTTATGCCATTAATTTCTCCAATTTTTCTTCTTCTTCTTTTTTACAATTTCCCATCATTATAAGAAAAGGCATTGCATTTGAAATATATCAGATAGTGAAATATTTAATGAAATATTCATGACTGCAGTGCGGAATTTGTGTTGCTCTTACCTTACTTTGGAGGTGTCCAATCACTCAACAGATCATCTCACCAGAGGTCTGCACTCTGCGGCCTTCCCAGGTCCCCGTGCTTTGGTTAAAGCCCAGGGGAAGACATCATGAAGTAATTCCTTCCAAGAGATTTTAAAGACTGTGAAGTTCAGGCAGCCAGGAATGCAGCAGAGTTACTGGGCAAATGTTTACTGGAAAGAGACATGCACACATACCACACTTGGAGACCTCACAATGCTCAGGTAGGCTCAAAGCCACCACACCTACAAACATTCCACAGAAATTCTCAAGTGCCCTGAGCGTATGGCAGGAAAAGAAAACCTTTGAGATAGTTGAGAGCAGGCTTCAGCACAGTATAAGTGTAAGAGCCAAAATTACTTTGAAAGCTAGAGGTCCTAACTGTTTTCCCTCTTGCCTTCAGCTTGTCCACTTGGAACTTTTGAATGCCACACAGGTTTATGTGTTCAACAAACTCGGCGCTGTGATGGGATCAATGACTGCTTTGATGAAAGCGATGAGCTCTTTTGTGGTTAAGTATCCGTAGCAGATGAGCCCTGAAATATTATGACCACTCTTTAAAGTTACCTTTCTTAGTGACTTGCTGCCTTTCTTCTCATTTTAGGTGTTCCCAAACAAAACTGTAACACCAGTTTCCTAACACAGCACCATTCCCTTTTCTGTGATGGAATAAATGACTGTGAAGATGGTCAAGACGAACGACACTGCACTGAAAGTGAGTCCCACCCCATAAAAGTTGTTAAGTGCAACGGTTTCACCTTACAAATTGCTCGTTCTAGTTATTGGAGTGATCCACAGTACTTTGGGCTTGATACCAATTCAAGACTGTTATTTTTGGTTCTGGTTTTTCTAATCAGGAGAGGAGAAAGATCTGTTGAATGGGCTGCTTCCCATTCATGCAGCCATTGGATACAACCCTTTGCCTCTGGCTTAAAAAAGACATACCAAGTACTGGTGTCAAAAGTGAGCTGGTAGCACCTCGTCTGGATGTGAGCCTTTTGTGAAACTGAATGTTGGGAGATTCAGGGCAGACAAAAAGAAGTCCTTCTTCACAGAGCACAATAAACATCCAGAATTCACTACCACAAAATGAAGTAATGGCCATTGGCATGGATGGCTTTAAAAAAAGGATTGGACAAATTTGTGAATGATAAGGCTATCAAAGTCTACTAGCCTTGAGGGCTATGTTCTACCTCCACAGCTGAAGGCAATAGGCCTCAGCATACCAGTTTCTGGGGAACACAAGTGGGGATAAGGCTATTGAGCATCAATAGCCTACTGGTGAGATTCTGATAGGCATCTGTTTGGCATCTGTGACAATTCCCCTCACAGAGCTACAATTCTCAGAGTTCCCACTTTGTGCTCCAGGCCCAACCATCCCTGGCACATGTCTCTTGGAAGTTTGCTCAGGCAGGTGTGCTCAGGCAGAATAGGGATTGACCATTAAACATTTTTGAGAATTGTAGCTCAGTGAGGGGAATTGGGGGTCTCATAACAGCTCTCAACACACTTAACAAATTTTCAGTGTCTGAGCCAGTGCTGAATCATTTTGATGAAAAAAATGAATAAAACAGAAACTGCTGAAGCATTTATTTTGTCACTGGTTCTTTTTCAGGCATTCCATGTACCAACAATACATTTAAGTGCAGCAATAATATTTGCTTCAGGAAGCAGAATGCAAGATGTGACGGGATTGTAGACTGCCTCGATCGAAGTGACGAAAACAATTGCAGTAAGTCTGTTCAAGGCTGCAATCCTTAAAAAATGCTTACTAGGACAGCCCTTCCTAATCTGGCATCCTCCAGATGCTGTAGGACTACAGATCCCATCAGTCTACAGCATGGTCAGTGATGATGGGAGTTACAGTCCAAAATAACTGTAGACGACCAGTTTGTAGAAAGCTGTGCTACAGTATTATGGTGCATCAAATACTTCATTGCATTCAATGGTCTTCTGCTGCACTCCACCTCCAATCTCTTTCAGATTTTGAGGGTGGGGGTGGGTGGGGTGGGACAGGAGAGGGAGAGGAAGCTCCATTCCACTTGGGGCAAGTGTTGTGCCATCCTGTTGGCCTGGGCAGCGTTCAGTCCCTTCACCAGCCAGAGCCTAATCAAGGGAGTCTCTCCTTGCAAACTAGCCCCAACTAGCCTTGCAAACTCTGCTCTGGGAGCAGAGATAAGGCAGAGAATCTCGAAGCCATTGTTTCATTGATTCAGATTGACTAGCTATCAATTGTTGGGTAATATTCTGAGAATATTTGAAAAGGATCACAGGTGGCTTCAATAACAATGTGGGCAGAAATTCTAGTCAAAGCTGATGGGAACATGACTCATAAGAAACACTCAGCTGGGATGTCCACATCTGAATGGAGAAGTCACATCTCCAGTTAAAAACAGAAACAAAAACAGCTTTCTGTTTCACGTGAATAATTGGCTTCATTTTTCAAAGCTGCACATGCTTCTCCCAGCCCATGCACACTGCTCTGTACAACACAACAGGTATTCATTAGCATATTTTAGTTCATAGATACTGAAAGATACTTTATGCCAGGTCAAACTGCTCATTTAGCTCATGATAGTCAACTCTGCCAGTGGTTTTCGAGGGTCTGAGGCAGAGGTCTTTCACATCCTTTGCTTCCAGATGCTTTTATTTAGAGATATCAGGGACTGAACCTAGGAAGCAAACTGAAGCTATGGGAACTCTTCTTCCAGCTGAATGTAAATAGCTTATGGTGCTTGATCCACGACAGAAAATTCCTAGGCCTAACTAACAGCTGCATGAATTAATCTGCAAATCCTCAATCCCTAATAATAGATGACGATCTTAACTCAGTATAGAATTGGAGATAATGACATCTACCATTTGCATTAATTACCAGTGGTCTCTGTAAGGCAATCAAAGTGTCACTGGGTCTCCACCCATCTAAGCCATGCAGCTTCTCCTGCAGGAAACAGGAATTTGCTTATCTCAGTCTTTCCCCACCCCCCACAATGTGTTAAAGGCCAATGAATGATGTGCTACATGGATTCCCATCCCTAACTAGGCTCTCATTGCACCAGCCACAGGTTTGCATAACAAATTCAGAGGATATTGTGTCGGTCTCTATACAGACAGTGGGACTTCCGACTTTTTTCCTAATGGCAATTGTACACAGTGTTTGAAACTTGGGGAGAGTTTTTTAAAAGTTGTGTGCCCCCGTGCAAGGGCCTTGTGTAAAACAAAAACATAAGTCAGAAACCCTCCTGTGCATAAATAAACCCTTAATTTGCACCTGAATCAAGACCACTGTCATGTATTTCCTGGCACTCCAAATAGGCAGACCTCAGTTTGCACATGAACTAGTTATATTTAGAGTGCTCAAGTTCAAAAAGATTAGTTAACAGATCATCCAGTTGGAAAATCAGTATTCCGCCATGGCTGCTACTGCAAGGGAAATGTTGAACTGTTAACCCTCTTCCAAAGGCTGTGGCAGCACTAAATACCGCAACATGCCCCACCGGATTGTGGGAGGGCTGGATGCCCACGAAGGTGAATGGCCGTGGCAAGTCAGCCTCCATTTTGCTGGAGTTGCTTACTGTGGAGCCTCTGTGATATCAAAAGAGTGGCTTCTCTCTGCTGCCCATTGTTTTCAAGGGAACAGGTGAGTAATTAGAAATCCCTTCATCCATAGCTTCTCCTTTCTCATAACTCCAAAGTAGTGGCATGTATGGGATAGACATGGAGTACAATGCGCTCCTTCTTCTCCTGTTAATTTGTAACAGTCAACCATGCAGCACAATTATGAGATTTCCAATATGCAGCTTGAAAAATAGCCTGGCCTCCCTTTGCATAGGCGAAGGGTCAGTGAACAAGGCTGCCTAGTGCTTGGCTTTTCCAATATTCACCCATTTCCATCTGTCCATGGCAGATCCCTGCTCAGAGCCCACTTTGTGGTTCAGGCCCAACTACCCCTGGCACGTGTCTCTTGGAAGTTTGCTCAGGCAGGTGTGGTCCTTGGCTGAACAAAATTCCTTGCTCCCATCTTAGTCCCACAACCCTTGTTTTAGATTCCTCAGTTGCACACCCTCCAACATTCCCCTGAAGAAAATGGGGGCACAAAGGCGTGGTACCAAAAGACGCACAACTTTTGGTGCTGTGTCCTTGCCCAAGTCAGTTGACTCACACAACATTGTGGCATCACTGCCAGTTCATCCCTGGGACATTCTGGGCAGTGGTGAGCGGTCAGTAGACTAGGGGGACTAGTCTAGTCCCTAAATTTTCCCCTGGCACCTCCTTACCAAAGCCCAGAGCTTCTGTCTGGCTTAGGAAAAGAGACGTGATGCTCTAACAGTTCACAATTGAGGTGTGTGTGTGTGTGTGCACTCCAGAGTTTTCATACCTTGTTCTAGAAGTCTGGTTACTGATGCTTGCATGATAATCTGCTTTCCTTAAGGTTATCTGATCCTAGAATCTGGACAGCTCATTTGGGAATGCGCACTCAAGGAAAAGCCAAATTTGTCTCTACTGTGAGAAGGATTATTGTGCACGAGTACTACAACAGCAGGAATTATGACTATGACATTGCCCTGCTCCAATTAAGCACACCATGGCTGGACACAATGAGGTGGCTAATTCAGCCAATCTGCCTGCCTCCCATCACACACAGAGTTCACACTGGGGAGAAGTGCTGGGTAACAGGATGGGGGCAAAAGCAAGAAACAGGTGAGCTTCCTGCTCCTTTTTGCCAACATGCCGGGAATTGCAATGAGAGATTTTTTGTTTCACTTTTTTATGTTTAGCACAGAGTTTGTATCTGCAACATCAATGCATAATCATATTTTCTCGAAACAGATAATGGATTAGGTGACAAAGCAGAAGCAAAGAGAGTCCATGTGGTGTCGTGGTTACGAGTGCCAGACTCGGACCTTGGAGACCAGGGTTCAAATCCACACTCAGTCATGAAACTCACGGGGCAGCCAGTGCCTAGAGCCACAGCCACAGGGTTTTTGTGGGGATTAAATGAGGAGGGGCGAGAACCATATATGCCACCTTGAGCATCTTGGAGAGAAAAATGGGACATAAATGCAAAAAATAAATAAAAAGTGACTTGTTTTGCTCATTTTAAGCAGCATCTGAATTCTGACAAGCAAGGTAGAACTTTTTGAAGGAAGCATCAGCATTGTGCCATCCATGCCAGGGATGAGGAGGAGCCTATAATACTTGGACTCCAACTCCCATCAGTTCCAGCCAGCATGGGCAAGGGTCAGGGATGATGGGAGTTGTAGTCCAACAATACCTGGAGAGCCACACGTTCCCTGTCACTGACATGCTTTCTGTAATGGTTCTACTGGTGATGATGGATCATGAGGGCACCAGTGTAAAAGAAAGCCCTTTTTGTCAGCCTCAGTTGGCCACTTGCAATATGAGGACGGTAATATTCACTTACCTCACAGGATTATTGTAAAGATCATTGAAACAACAAGCGCTGATTTGATCCCTCTAAACTCATAAATAATAACTGTAACAACAATAAGAGCTAGGACAGAAGCCAACATCACCTTTCCTTGGAAGAGAACCCCATTTCAGTATAACTTACTTTCTATACATAAGATATATAAATAAAGACATTGCTGGTTTTCTTAGATTTGATAACAGCCAGGTTTAGTGTAGTTGCTATAAGGGTTGCTATCTGGATCTGGAGTGAGAGATCAGGTTCTCGAGAATTATCATCTTGCCTAAATTATTAAACTTTTCCAGATGATGAAACCTCGGCAGTTTTGCAAAAAGCAGAGGTAGAGATTGTTGATCAAACACTGTGTCATTCAACGTATGGGCTTATTACAGCCCGCATGCTGTGTGCTGGGATGCTGTCTGGGAAAAGGGATAGCTGCAAAGTAAGTACCTTGCTCTCTCACATACTTGCCCCACTTATACTTGCTCACCACCGCTGCTTACTATTCCTCACCCCCACCCCCCAAAATATCACCATTGACTTTTGACTGCATTCCAGTTCAGGTCTGTGCTAGGAAACCTAATGACACTGGTCTCAACTGGATCTTATATACCAGGGGTCAGCAAACATTTTCAGCAGGGGGCCGGTCCACTGTCCCTCAGACCTTGTGTGGGGGCCAGACTATATATTTTTTGGGGAGGGGAATGAATGAATTCCTATGCCCCACAAATAACCCAGAGATGCATTTTAAATAAAAGGACACATTATACTCATGTAAAAACACTCTGATTCCTGGACCGTCCGCAGGCCAGATTGAGAAGGCGATGAGGCCGGATCTGGCCCCCGGGCCTTAGTTTGCCTACCCATGTTATATACCCTCCCCTGACTGGTTGCGCTTCTGCAGCCTGAGACTTCTTCTGCATGAAAGGTGCCACTGCTCTTCCCAATTCATACACCTTCTGGTTCTGGGAGATGGGGTGGGGTGGGGGAGAAGGTAGTGTGTCTACTGACCCATCTATTGGCTGAACAGCCTTTTCTTCTCCTGCCACATCTGGTGTACCTTTCTCTATCTCAGACTGCCTTGACTCTTCCTCCCCCCCCCCCGGATCCCACCCTGTGGGTGGTGCCAAACCCCATAAATCACACGTCTCCTCTCCTGGGTCATTCCCCATGCCTCCACCACATACTCTTCAGAGCCCTGCCTGTCCCTGACACCTGGGGACAGCTTTTATCCACATTGGTAGATAATTGATGCTATCAACAGAAATTATCTAAAATGGCAAAATGTGTTGACTTTTGAAAACAATGTCTTTTTTTTTAGGGAGATTCTGGAGGACCCCTATCATGTCGAAGCAAAAGTGATGGAAAGTGGTTCTTGATGGGAATCGTTAGCTGGGGCTATGGCTGTGGAAGACCCAATTTCCCCGGAGTATACACAAGGGTGTCAAATTTTGCTACATGGATACACAAATATGTGCCTTCAGTTTTTTAATTTAGCGGCAATTACACTTGAAACAGAGTCAGCTCTGAAATGTCCTCATTAAAACCACATTTACTAAATGATTAGTGGTGTTTTCAGTTTGTCATTGTGTCTGCTACACCCATGGCCTCGGAATGAATGGCTCGACCACATGCTCAATAAGCAGAATTGTACAGAGGTCTTGAAAAGACTAGGTTCCTACCTTTCTCACTCTCAAGTGATGCCACAAAAACTTAATTTTTGGTATATTTTTAATGATTATTTGCATCAAATGTAGGGGAAAAGATATTTTATAAGACTACAACACTAGGCATGTGTCAGGATGTTGTCTGTGGCTCCCGGCTGGCTGCCCAAGAAAGTATAAAAAGAAGAAAAAATTTCTTACCATCCTTTTAATTTCAATATTTACAGAGAGAGGCTATAGAACCCAGCCTCTTGGATAATGGCATTGTCCTGAATGAATCTCCACCCCAGTCTCTTCCACTTCCTCATTTGCCACTTCTACAGGTGCTGCTACATGCCCTCTGTCTCTGAGCTCTTTGCTCTCCTACTTTTAAGGCTCGCTGGGTTCTGGGAGATGGAGGGTCTGGGATGCTTTCTAATGACACCGTGTCAGCCAGCTGCTGCTCTGGCTCTGCCTGCTTCTCCTCTCCTATTATTTCTCAACTTTTCCCCTCATCTGCCTCTGAGCTGTGACCTCCCACAAACCACTGTTGTAAATCTATACTGTCTTCCTCTTCCTCCTCTCTGGAAGGGTCAGGATGGGGAGGCGGTCTCCACCATTCCTTCTCTACCCAGTCCCTGGCAGCATGACTTAGGTTGCCTGTGACTATTATATTTCCAGCATTCAACTACAGGGGCTGTAAAATATGGGGAGGGAGATATCATCTTTGAATATTGCTTGAGGAAGGCAATGCTGATTGGAGGGAAAAAATACTCTATGGGGAAAAATTTAAGTATCCCTTTCCCCTAAACCACCTCCTCTTCACACTGCCATCTGGCTTCATTTCAGTTAGGAGATTAATCACTGGGTTCTCAAATTGCATGTAGTTGGGTCATTTCCCCCAGACAAAACTTGAAAGTGGAACCTTATTCAGGGATGCAACATGGAAAAGGACATAACTCATTTCAGAACGCTTAGGACAAACCAGTTGTGTTTCTTATAGTTTATACTTCTTGTTGACATCCATCTGTCTCAGGAGACAATGAAAGAGTGCCTTCAGGGATGAAGTCAAACTGCTGGAGAATTACAGTGCCTGCTGTGGCTGAAGAAACGTACAGGAGAGATATGTTTTATTGCAGCTGGAGCAGATGAAGGCGTCCAGTTTTGCTGCTACAGGTGTACCATAGTGTTTCATCTCTAAGCGCTCCTCCCATCAGTCATTTCTCCTCTGGCCACTGCTGCAGATACAAAACCTGACTCCCTATTTCCAGTTTTTACTAGGGGTGGGAAACTTCAAGCTCATGGAAATAATTCAGCTCTCCAAGCTTCTCCGTCTGGCTCTCAGGACTTGCTCCAGGCCACACTTCTCCCCAGCGACACACCTCACTTGACCTGCTTCACAACCTCCCCAGGTGCTTTTACTGGGCTGGAATTTGTCCTTGAACTCTGATCATGCTTCTGGTTTGCCTGGACAGAGGATAGAGATGGTTATGTGTAGAAACTAACTACTATACAAAGTTTGTTGTTTAGTCGTTTAGTCGTGTCCGGCTCTTCGTGACCCCATGGACCAGAGCACGCCAGGCACTCCTGTCTTCCACTGTCTCCTGCAGTTTGGTCAAACTCATGTTGGTAGCTTCGAGAGCACTGTCCAACCATCTCCTCCTCTGTCGTCCCCTTCTCCTCGTGCCCTCCATCTTTCCCAACATCAGGGTCTTTTCCAGGGAGTCTTCTCTTCTCATGAGGTGGCCAAAGTATTGGAGAATCAGCTTCAAGATCTGTCCTTCCAGTGAGCACTCAGGGCTGATTTCCTTCAGAATGGATAGGTTTGATCTTCTTACAAAGTTAGAATTTACAATTCTTGCTCCCCTCCCTGGTTTATACACCCGCATGAATGCAACTTCAATGGATGACTTGCAGATGTGAAAGATTACTCACAAGTTGAAACACATCATCTGATCTCACCTCAAGTACAATACTCTTCAGTGGAAAGGTCTGCCAGATTCAGGTGCCAGTGTCATAGTGCTGAGAAAGCAAATAATAGATACATAAGTGCAAGTCTAAAACACCGTAATGAATGCTCTGCAAGGGATAGACATCAGTGGCAATTTAGAACATGCTCATTTCATGATATGATTGGAGGCCAGAAATGTTCTCTAGGACTTCTTTCCCTCTCATGTCACTATTCTGAGGGTTTATCCACACCTCCGCTTGCCCAGACCACATTCCCCATGGAAAACCTGCTGTTTATCTCTGAATTGGAGCGAACATCAATCAGGTTTTCTCTGGACTGATGTTCAGTATGATTTAGCACTGAAGAGTGGATTTTCTGAGGGAAAGTATTGAGGCAAAGGCAAAACAGCCCAGATCCGTGCCTAGAAAGCATGGGGCAAGTGGGAAACAGTATGGACATGTGCTTTCTAGGCATTGGACAAGCAGAAGTGTGGATGAGCTGCAGTTCGGGATAAATGAAGTATCACTTCTGCAGAAAGTGACCTCAGCTCAGAGGGCTGCCAGGATTTGCAGACAACAAAGAGCTGCTGGGAAAGAAGAAAATAGAAGCATGCTTGGGGGAATACCAAGTTCTACAGAAATAAACAAAAAAAGGAAAAAACATAAAACATCAGCCAGCAAAAATCAAACAAATGGCCCAGCAATAACGGAGCATATTCAATAGCCACATAATGTAGATTGTTAGTTGGAAAAGAAAGTGGGGAGATGGGAAGTAGAGTACTCTGCTTGAAAAGAATTACTGGCTGGAGAAGGCACCAACATTTTGTTGCAGGTCCCACTTGCTGGCGTTTCATTTATGCCATTTTTTGGACTAGTTACAGTGATTGGTGTTAATAGAATCTGAGCCATCCTGAGTCTCTAAAATAGGGCAGAGAAGAAGTATGACCACATGGATCCTAATACAGTGGTACCTCGGGTTACATACGCTTCAGGTTACATACGCTTCAGGTTACATACTCCGCTAACCCAGAAATAGTACCTCGGGTTAAGACCTTTGCTTCAGGATGAGAACAGAAATCGTGCTCTGGCGGTGCGGCGGCAGGAGGAGGCCCCATCAGCTAAAATGGTGCTTCAGGTTAAGAACAGTTTCAGGTTAAGAACGGACCTCTGGAATGAATTGTTCTTAACCCGAGGTACCACTTTATGTGGTTGTTTTACACATTTATGAACCACATTCCCACTACAGCAGGACACAAGACAAAGTACACCTATTACTCTGGTGTAAAGTAAAATGAGTTAACTTGGGCTACACACATACATCATATATTTACAGCACATGACTTCCCCCAAAGAATCTTGGGAGCTGTAGTTTGCGATGGTTGCTGGGAACTGTAGCTGTGTGAGGGGTAAACTACAAATCCCAAGAGAAGCAATATGCTTTAAACATGTTTCAAATTTATGGTGTGTATTATTACCCTTCACTACCTTCAGGGGGAATGCCCTGCTATTAAACCGTCAAGAGAGGAACCGCTTTACTACCTCTCCTGCTTGAAAGTCCACAACACAGCACAGTGAAGAATACTGACAAATGCCAGTAAAATGTTGCAATTCTGATCTCATCATACCATCAAAGCATGCCAGCATGCCAAAGATGCACAGGGCAACTATGCTATATATTAGATAACCTTGGGTTTTAGTATGTTCATAATAGGCTTTTAATTTAACTAAATTGTTGATAGATTTTCTTTTTCTATTTGGGGTGGGGCGAGGTTAATAATAACATCATTCCAGAAGCAGATTTTTTAAATTTTTTTAAAAACCCTATATCATTTAAATACCCCTCCCCCCCGTGTCCTGTAAACAAAGAAGCCAAGAAGTTCTACTCAAAAGGGTAAAGTGTGTGCAAGTTTTTCAGACTTTTAAATACGTCCCTCAACCGTAACCATGCTGTAACAAAATCCCTCTGTGTTCTTAATTACTGTTCTCGGTTCACTTGGTTTTGTTGCAAGGATGTAAGCATTTTAAAAGGGTCAGTAAGTTCCTTTGATTCACTCAGGCTATTTCAGTCATTGTCCGAGTTGCTCATTACAGCCGATATTCTTTCCCCTCCCTTTGTTTTAAGAAATGCTGGTGCGCTTGGGAGTATATTTGTTTGAGGATTTGTAGGAAGTTGGGGCCAAATTTCATGTTAGTTAGTACTGCTAATATGTATTTCCACTCTAAGCAATCAAAGGCTTTGAGGATGTCTAGGGACATAATTGTCAATGGGAGTTTGGTTGCCTTGCTGTGTTCGATCAGGTTCAAACAAATATACTCCCAAGCCTCAGCAAAATGCAGAACTAACAATATGGATTCTAATACTATAGCTATCCAAAGAGGCACGAAACAAGGATGTCCACAGTCTCCCTTCTTATTTATCCTGGCTCTGGAACCCTTAGCAATCCGCATCCGAGCAGCCACAGACATCAAGGGAGTGGAAATAAAAGGCAGAACCTGTAAATTAGGGCTCTTTGCAGATGACCTAATGGTCACAACACCAGACCCCATAAGCACAGCAACCTCCTAATCAGAGAACTCAACACATTTGCAATGGTGTCGGGCCTACAGGTAAATTTTACAAAGTCAGAAGCTATGTGCTTCAACACCCCTCCTCACACCCAAAAAGAACTCATGAAGGTCACCAAAATAAAACTTTGCCACACCAAGTTCAGATACCTAGGGGTACAAATAACCAGAAACCTCAATAAATTGTACCTCCACAACTACAAGCCCCTGTGGCGACAAATTAACAAAGACCTAAAGAGATGGAATAACATGAATTTCACTCTCTCAGACAAAATAGCCATGATCAAAATGATCACACTCCCAAAACTAACCTACCTATTCCAAACCCTCCCAATCTGGATCC